GGTTACTTGGCGTCGATTGGGTGCAGTTGCTCAATGACACAACTTCCACACACAATTTCGTATATATAAGGGACAACCACATGGTCGTGCATTTCTTCCGCTTTCCCTCGACCACCTTTTTTATCCTCCAAGGTACTCTTTTAAAGTTATAAAATTTGACTTTTGTTGTACTTTTCCAAGGTACTTCACACATATTAAAGAAATTGAGTACATTGTTTGACACTGTTTAGTATTATTTGACACTGTTTTGCACTGTTTTGTGTTGATTTGAAACATTTATGTAATTCTTAATTCCTGTTTGTTGTATTGAGTGCACTGCAAGAACTGGAACAAGATATTCTTCCAGTTCGTCCAAAGGTCCTTAAGTAATACGCCCCCATATTGTTTGTCAAAACGCCCCAGAAGGTTACTAACTATCCAAACTTAAGACTTAAATGGAACATGTAAACTGCAACAAAAAAACGCTTTTAATTATAAAATCACTCATTTTCAGAGTTCGATCTAATGGCAGTTTATAATGTGCCCTGAAAATGGCACATGTAAACCGCAACAAAAAAAAACGCTTTTAATTATAAAAAATAAAAATCACTCATTTTCAGAGTTCTATCTAATGGCAGTTTATAATGTGCCCTGAGAACTCCATCCCTTAATTAATGCCTCCATACTGTTTGTTAAAATGCCCCTGAAAGAATTCCTAAATCTCCATATTAAGAGTTAAATGGCACATGTAAAGTGAAACAACAAATGATCTTCATTATAAAACCACACGTATTCATACATACAAGTGTTCTTACGACTTACAACCTTGTTTTTTCTGTTTCAACATTCATTTTCCAACTAACTATCACACTTCAGAATTGAAAGTCACTCAAATGCTTCTAGAAAAAAACTCATGCACCAGGTGAGAAACAAACATCACCCTACAAGCCTAAGAGTTATTTAGTGAAATAGCTTAAAGGGAGCGATCCCCAAGAGTTTTTAGTGGTTTAATGTACTCGATTTCGGAAGCCTAGAAAATATGATACTACCTCCGTTCCCATTTTAATTTCCAAATGAGTTTGACACAAAATTAAAGATAGTGGATATTGTGTGGCGGAGAGTTGTGCAGAGGAGAGAGAAATGTGTAAGAAATGTTGTGAACCACAAATTCTTTACCAAATAAGGAAAGTGGAAGTTTTAATTAGAACGGACGAAAAAGGAAAGTTGGAAGTTTATTTAGGAACGGAGTAATTGGGAAATAGATTTTGCTGGGGTGTTTGGTAAGTGACTTAAACGTAGAAGTTGTTCTGCTTCACCATATCACGTCCTAAGTTTAAACAGATTTTTTATTTACATATCTAAATCTACATTGGTGCTTTTAGAGCACTAAATTAAACAAACAATTGTCAGCTCTGTATTCATTTCATGCATAAAATGAACTAAAATCAAACACTTCACAACTGCAGGTTACTCAAATGCATTAACAATCAAACTCATGCGTTTAGTGATAACAACACATTACCGTAAAGGCCTATTAAGGGAAACGATGCCGAAAAAATATCATAATTGCAAATGTTCTCCGGCATTTGCCCAACTGATTTTGTTGGTTGCCTATCGGGACAAAAAAAAACAAATATAATGTATAGTAATTAGACTCCTTCCACACAACATAATCATATTGTGAAGATGGATCTGTGAAAATAGGAAGAAGGTGAAGCGCTATATTTTTTAGATATTTTAAAATTTATGAAATCAAGATGAACTTTAAGATTTCTATCTTTCAAATTTAGAATACAAGTTCAAACTAAGTACACCCTTGTTGAATATGGTTTTAAGTCCAAATATAGTTTATTATGGTGTGTGACATGTTTTTAAGACAAGTTAGGATTTAGTATCATCTTTTGCCCTCATATTAATAAGTAAATAGAGAAAGTCACGGCTCTTGAATAATTTATTCGATAAAGTCTCGTCAAGGATCACCATTAGTTTAACTGTAGCAGCATGAAATTTTGAGTTTAGGTCTGCAGGTTCCTTTTAAGATAAAACAATCTCTTTATTGAAGTTCTACAATTTTGACTTAAAAAAGAGAACAAATAAATTGTACTATAAGGATGTTTTTACTTTGACCGTAATTCCTCTCAGACCAGACCAGATCAGACTAGACCAGTTCAGACCAGACCAGATTTGGATAGTTATAAAAAAACAAAGAAACGAGATCAGTTCAGACCAGACCAGATCAGATCAGACCAGACCATACTAGTAAATTACAACCCATGTAAAAACATCCTAACTCAGCTTAAGTTTTTTCTTTATTTAGGTCTTATGTTATACGGAGTACTTTTTTTTCTCCGGAGGGAGCTTTAATGTCTCTTTTGGCAAAGATTATTTTAACTCAAATGGATTCTGAATCTGCACAAATTTCAAAATATCATAACATCCATTTCACAAAAAATCAAGGATTGGTAAATTAGAATATCCACATTCCAATATAAGTATCTTTTCAAAAAGATATTTATAGTATTTAATATATTAAATATTAATATTTAAAATATTAAAATATTACCATAAAAAAAGTATTTAAAATATTAAATACAGTTGAAAGTTTTAAATTACAACCTAGACAAACCTAATACCCGTTTCCTTTAGTTTGATTTCATAATATGTTTGACATTGAAGATTTACTTGCAGAGACAAATATGGAGTTGCAAACCTAATAACCTGAAGCTTGCTTGGCTTTAATATCAATAGCAAGGCGTATCAAACAATCAAGGCAGGGGAGATTAAATGTTTGATAGCTATATTGATTATTGAATGCAGTACTGAAGCAGAATAATCGTATACAAAATTATACTCCCTATTGAATATTCCCTCCATCCCTTAAAGGTTTGACAAGTTTAACCGGTACGGGGATTAATAAAGTAAATACTGTGTGGTTGAGATTTGTGCAGAGGAGAGAGAATTAATTGTAACCACAAATATTTTACTTAAAAAGGAAAGTGACAAAGTTAGTGGAACATGCAAAAATGTATCATATTGAATGTGTCAGCGGGAGCTCTCTCTAACTAGGATGATACTTTGCACAGATAACGTTCAATAACACTATGATACATACACATATGCATTGGATCACTAAACAATGCAAGAGATATGAATTGCTGACACATAGGAAAGTGACACACCACTTTCCTATTAATAATAAAGTACAAATGGGCTTAATACATAAAAGGCCAAATAAATAAACTATTACAGAAATACAAAGAAAGATAATGATAAATTGCACACAATAAAAGATTCCTAACAAGTAACAATCCCCTAACACTTTGTAAACGAAGTTTAAATAGGAGTCTTATACATCAATAAGATCTTTCCAATATAAATTGCTTGAAACAGAACAATGTAGAGTAAGATATGATCAAATAAAATACTACACGAGTTCCATGTGAACTCAAAAATGTGTATGAATTTTAGGTTAATACGTGTCTACTGTTTAATATAGTGTAAATCAAGCATCAGAACGTGTTTTCAAATCAAATACTTAGCTTGTTTTCTATAATACAACAATTTCAGAGTAAATAGAGCATAAGATATTCATCCAGTAATATTTTTTGGACTTGAAAAGATATTTTCAAAGATATATTAAGGGTATGTTTGAGACAACAAGCTGAAAAGATACTTTTATAAGCTTTTAAATAATTATAAGTTTTTAGTGACTGAAAAGATCTTAAAAGACAAAAGGTTGTAGTTGTTTGATAAAAAGGTGATTGTTGATTTAGTTTTGTTTGGTATAACAAGTTGTTGTGACTAATTAATGTTAAAAGCTACTGACTTTCTCCTAGATGTTACTCACTGTAGCATTTTAAAATAGATCTTTTATTAAAAGCTCTAATAAATTGTCCTATCAAACAAACAATTAGAAGCTTTTAGAAGCTTTTTATACAGTACAAAATAAATCTAAAAGGTGAGGGATTATGTGTACCAAACATGCACTAAGCACTTGAAACGAGACATAATACAGAAAGATATTATCTGGTCAAATTTAATACTACAACTCTTCATAGAACTCAGATATGATATTCAATTTATAAGTAATACGTATTTTCCCCTTGATATTTTGTAAACGATGTCTGAATATGAGTCTTAAAAATCGATAAGATCTTTCTAACGAGATAAAAGAATGTTTGAAATGGAACAAAATACAACAAGATATGATCAATTCAAACATTACACGAGTTCAGAGTGAATTCGGCAATGCTTATGAACGTTAGCTTAATATGCACCTAGCTTTTTGAGTTTTACAACTCAAAAAGATCTTTCAACGAGATATGAAACACTTGAAATACAATAAAACATAGTGAGATATGATTGTTAAAGATATTGCAGCTGTATATATGGTTAATCAAAGTAAATTATGTTAGAGATCTGTTACAACAATATATATGCATAAATAATGTAGATTCTAGTCATTAAATATAGAATATATACCTTTCTCGATTAGCTATTATACTCGTGTACATATTCAGCATTCTTTGTTTATTTGAAAGATAGAAAACATTTCCATACTTCTCTATTGACATGGTATAAGAGCCTATACACAAGATGCTTCCCTGATTTCATAGCCGTCACCTGTTACCTGTGAAACCCTAGATCAACTTTCACTCGTTAACAGTCTAGCTCTGTCAAAAGAGATCCCTAGCTTCCGTCTATCCAGAATCATCTTTTATTTTACAAAATGGGAGATGGTGCAAAACAAAATGATGCTATAGTCCCTGGAATTATTAATTATTCTACTGCTCTGAAAATATTAGTTAAGCTAAACTCAACTAATTGGGCACAATGGAGTATTTTCGCTCAGTCCGGCCTTGAAAGCTTGGATAAAGATGTATATCTGAACCAAGATCCTCCTGATCCTAAAACCCGAGAATGGAAGCTTGATGATAGTGGAATCAGAATAGCTTTGTGGAACGTTATGGAACCTCAAGTTTTGAGTATTGCTCAAAATTATCCTACCCCAAAGAAGATGTGGGAAGACTTACAGTCTTCCTTCTCAGCAAAAGTCTATTTACCACACGTACTCTGTGTTTGGATCTTATTTCAGATGTGAGCAATGTGACTCAGACCTTACTGAATACTATACAAGGCTGTCCAAATTAGCGGAGGAGCTGCGTGTTCTTTTCCTGGTAACTCCTGATGTTAAAGTTCAGGAGGAGCTGTTAGCAAAAATGGATGTGATGACGTTTATTTCATGTCTATCTCCCAGGTACTCAAATTCTCTTCCTTTGCTCATGAGTCACATTGCCTCTCAATCTCTGGCCTCGACATACCATCTTGCACAGGAAATGTATACGGACAATTCAGTAACACAATCATCTACTGGTACAGATGCGTCTTCTTTTACAGCTTTTAATGCCCAAAATAATGGAAAAGGTGTGAATCATAAGTATGATCCCAATAAGAAGATCCAATGTCATTACTGCAAAGAATATGGACACACCAAGTATAATTGTCCAAACCGAATGCCTGAATCTTATCCACCCCCGCGTCCTCCTCGTGCTCAAATAACATCCATTGATGATACAACAGAAGTTTACCCTGAAGCTTCTGGACAGGTAGCATCAACTCCTTGTGCTATTACATCACACCCAGGTATATCTTCAATTTGTCTTTCTGCTTGCTCATCATCTTGGATTATTGATTCTTGTGCTACATGTCATATGGATAGGAACAAAAACCTCATACTCAACCTAGATACAAGTGTAACTCACAACCCTGTTAAATTTGCTAATGGTTCTTCATGTCCAAGTACGGGCAAAGGATCCACCAATAATTTACCAAACCTAAACTTGTCATCAGTTCTTTATGTTCCTACCTTTCCAGATAGCCTTATATCTGTTAATCAGCTTACTAAGAAGCACAATTGTTCAGTAACTTTCTTCCCTACACATTGTGTTTTCCAGGAACTAGGGACGAACTGGTTGATTGGCATAGGTTTTGAGTCTCAAGGCCTATATCGCTTTTCTGATCCACAATCTCCTTTGGCATACTTAAGTGAATCCAGTGTTCGTGAAGCTCATTGTCAGCTTGGTCGTCCTTCTTTACCTGTTCTCAAGCAACTTAGACCATATTTGTTACCTTTTCATGAGTTCTTTTGTGAGTCATGTCAGTTAGGGAAACACACCTGTCATCCTTACCCCCCCCCCCCCCAAAGAATCTAAACGTGTGAGTACTTTATTTCAGTTAATTCATTTAGATGTTTGGGGACCTTGTCCAGTTACTTCAATAAATGGTTTTAAATTCTTTATTACATTTGTTGACGATTATTCCCGTGCAACTTGGGTTTACTTGTTTAAATCAAGAAATGAAATGTCTGCCATATTCCATGAATTTTATGCATATGTTAAAACCCAATTTGATAGTTGTATAAAACACTTTGATCTGAAAATGCAAGAGTATTTTTCTTCTGATTTCACACATTTTTTATCTGAGCATGGTATTATACATGAATCATCATGTCCGTACACACCCCAATAGAATGGCATTGCTGAACGTAAAAACTGTCATCTGTTGGATGTTGCTCGTGCTATGATGATTCATTATAATGTGCCCCAACATTTTTGGGCTTACGCGGTCCTCACAGCAAATTATCTAATCAACCGCATGCCATCCTCTGTTCTTTCTGGAAAAATACCATTTTCTCTTCTATTTCCCAAAGGCACTCTGTTTTCTCTGCCTCCTAAGATCTTTGGTTGTATATGTTATATCCATGATCTCCGTCCAGAACATAACAAACTTGATCCACGTGCCATCAAGTGTGTCTTTCTAGGGTACTCACTAGTCCAAAAAGGTTATCGTTGTTACTGTCCAACCCTTCATCGATATTTTACTAGTGCTGATGTTACTTTCCATGAGTCCCGTTCATTCTTTGATAGCACCACTAACTCTTTCGAGTCATCATATATATTTCCAGATCATTCCGAAACTATAGATCCTCCGGTCTATATCACCCCTATACAAACATCACACAACTCATCTCCCACTTTACCATTAGATACAGATACTCGATTCACAAAAGTGTACACAGAACCAAGAGAACTCAAACATGTGCCATGAAACTGGAAACTCTCCTGTTCCAGAACCTCATCTCAATCCAGAACCACAATCCGTATCCGAACCTCTCCCTTATGAACCTTGTGACCCACCTGGAGCACCTCTTTCTGACCTTCCAATTGCCTTACGAAAGGGTACCAGAAGTTGTACCAGATATCCTATTCAAAATTACCTTGCCTACTCTCACCTTTCACCTGAAGGATATGCTTACCAAACAGCCATTGATAATCACCATGTTCCCGGGAATGTAACTGAGGCCTTGAATCATCCTGGATGGTTTAAAGCAATACAGGAAGAGATGGATGCTCTACAGGAAAATCAGACTTGGGATTTGGTTTAGCTTCTTTCCGGAAAGCGCATAGTTGGTTGTAAATGGGTTTATACAGTTAAACATCATCCTGACAGCTCACTGCATCGATTGAAAGCCTGATTAGTCGCCAAAGGTGACTCTCAAACATATGGGACTGACTATGACGAAACTTTTTCCCTCGTAGCCAAGATGTCATTTGTTCGTATTTGTATTGATGTAGCTGCAATCGATCATTGGCCGCTTCATCAGTTGGATATCAAGAATGCCTTCCTTAATGGCTATCTTGAGGAGTAGGTATATATGGTGCAGCCTAGTGGATTTATAGTTAAGGAGGAGGCATCTAAAGTATGTCGACTTAGACGTTCTTTATACGGACTCAAACAATCTCCTAGAGCATGGTTTGGATGTTTGTCAGATGTCCTTCAACAGTTTCGCATGACCAGAAGCTCTTAGGATCATTCTGTGTTCTTTAGACATCATATGGGTCGACGACTCATTCTTGTAGTTTATGTGAATGATATTATCATCACTGGAAACAATAGCAGCTGAATTTCAGAATTGAAAGAGTTTCTACAATCACAGTTTGAGGTCACAGACTTGGGACGCCTTCGTTACTTTCTTTAGATAGAAGTCTCCTCGTCTCCACAAGGAATTCTTTTATCTCAACGGAAGTATGTCATTGATATGTGGGAAAAGGTGCAAATAATCCCTCGAACTAACCGAAAAAGTGCAAAACACCCCTTTTATAGGAGGCTCTGTCCGGTCGTCACCATTTCGGGCGGTTCTCGATGAAATTTTTTGATGAATTGTTTTGAGAATCTTCTTCATTAAGTATAGTGTACCCATACAAATTTTTAGCTAAAAATTCAACGAGGAAGGCAGTCAAATGATTTTCTTAAATATGTTGTATTGTTTAGCTGCGCAGTTATCTTCAAACATTTATTTGTCTGCCTTCCCGATTGCATTTTTAGCTGAAATTTGGTATAGGTAAACTAGACTTAATGAAGAAGATGTTCAAAAATATCATCAAAAAATTCAACCGGGAAACGCCCCAAATGGCGACATCCGGACAGAGCCTCCTATAAAAGGGGTGATTTGCACTTTTCGGTTAGTTCGAGGTCTTATTTGCCCCTTTTCCCATGATAATGTTGACTGAATGTGGCTTACCAGGATGCAAACCAGTGGACAGCCCAATGCTTACAACAGGGAAACTTCTTGAAAAGGATGGAAGTCCTATGAAGGATCCAAAGCGTTAGAGGAGACTAGTCGGGAAACTAAATTATCTAACGGTTACCCGGCCTGACATATCATTTCCGGTAAATGTCTTGAGCTAGTTCATGTCTGATCCATACACATGCCATTGGGATGCAGCTCTTCGTGTTTTGAGGTATCTCAAAGCCACACCGGGCTTAGAAATACTCTATTCTGATCAGGGCCATTGTCGAGTAGGTGCATTTACAGAAGAAGAAGATGACAGGATTTCGGGTTTCTCGGATGTGAATTGGGCTGGCTGTTGGTTGAAATTTAGTGTTTTGGAAAAGCAATAAACAGCTCAGTGACTCTCGATCAAGTGGAGAGTCAGAATATAGAGCCATGGCAGATGTTTCATGTGAAATGATATGGGTTAAAAGATTACTCACGGAGCTTGGAGTGTATTCTAATAATTTGATGAGGCTTTATTGTGATAACTAGTCCGCTATTCATATAGCCAAGAATCAAGTGTTTCATGAGAGGACCAAACACATTGAAGTTGATTGCCACTTAATCAGAGATCATGTGGTTGGCACACAATCAAACCCTCCATCGATCATACCGGTGCATGTCAGGACTGAACATCAACTCGCAGATATTTTTACGAAGCCACTCCGTAAATCACAGATAGATTTTATTTGTAGCAAGTTGGGCATGATTAATATCTTCGCTCCAACTTGAGGAGGAGTGTTAAAGATATTGCAGTTGTATATATGGTCAATCAAAGTAGATATGTCAGAGATATGTTACAACAGTATATATGCATAATAAATGTAGATTCTAGTCATTAAGTATAGAATATACACTTTCCTAGATTAGCTATTATACTCCTGTATATATTAAGCATTCATTGTTTATTTGAAAGATAGAAAACATTTCCCTACTTCTCTATTGACAATGATCAAGTCAAATACTACACATGTTTGGAGTTAACTCAGCAATGATTTTTAATTTCTGAGGAATACGTACCAATCACGTAATATTTTGTAAAAGAAGTCTCAATACGAGTTTTAGAACTCAATAGAATCTTTCTGAGGAGATATAAAATGCTTGATTCGGAACGCAAACAGCAAGATATGATCAAATCAAATATTAGACGAGTTGAACTCGGAAATGTGTTTGAATTTAAGGTTAATGGTACCTATTCTTTAATACATTGTAAACCAAGTTTGAACACGAGTTTTAGAAATAAAAAAATCCAACGAGATATAAAACGCTTAAAACAAGAGAACATATATCAAGATATGATCACATCAAATACCAATTTGTTTTATGTAATGTAGCACTTGCAAAGTAGAGTAAGATATGATCAACTGAAATACTAAACTAAAACTCTTCAGAATTAACTCGGAAATGATTTTTAATTTCTAGTAATGTGTACCTATCATTTAGTATTTTGTAAACGAAGTCGGAATACGAGCTTTAGAACCCGATAAAATCTTTCCAACGAGTTATAAAACGCTTGAAATGGAAGAATGTACATCAAGATAATAAAATCAAATATTTAGCACGATTTATGTAAAATAACATTTTCAAAGTAAGTAGAGCATATTTGGCATAAATAGAGTCTTGAATTCGGAATTCGATGCTTCAGGTACCCATCTCTTAATATTCTGAAAATGAAGTTTTAATACAGTTTTTGAACTCGATAAGATTTTTTAAAAACACGGTGTTATTATATTTCAAAATTGTTATTTTGTTACGCAACGTACTTGGTTGGACAGGGTTGTAGTTCTATACTTGAAATCAGACCCTTATTTACGATGCAAAACATAAGTGGAGTTTATCACGAATGAGAAACTATGCAGAGACTGTCTAGTTCTAGTACATTTATACATGGGTTGATATTGTAGAGTTGAAGTCTTGATTCTATTTTTCTCTTTATAGCTTGATGTTTGTGTTTAGAAATGTCAAAATGAGTATATAACTTAACCAAGAATCAAGACATTTATATATGACCTTAATCTAAAATTCGTTAACTAGGTTCCGATTAAAATTCTTGAATATGAACACATAGAGATGGTATAGTAAAAATGTGACTTTTTATACAAAATGATTATGGTAATAACTTTGAGTAACTATGATTCTGTTTAGATTTGACACATAAATTTCATTTCTGCAATATTTTAGACAATTGCGTTTGTATTATTAAGGAAAACCTTATTGAATTATCCAATCTTGCCATATATTTCCAAAGTATTCTAATAATATTGATTTTTTCCAGCATAATGGCAATCCCAAATCAAATCAAACTACTGAAGAAAGCAACTGCAGATTATTCTGGTCTGGACTCTGAAGAAATCAACTGCTGATTTTTCGGGTCATCCCAACACAGAAAGAACTGTACCAAGCACAGAGAGTTCAAAACTTCATTGCCATTGCATAAAGATCTGTTTTTACAAGATTATTGTTATATCCCATAAAAATTAACAAAAAAAAAGAGTCGAGGGAATTCAAATCCCCATTTGTTAATTCTTCTCATATATTTACACACACACTCAATCGCTACTGCCTTTATTTGATAGATTGATAGATATATACTCAGATCAGATTGCCAGAATGCCATTCCTTGAAAACGTCTGGCCGCCATTTGAGCTCGAAACATCTACAGACCTTGAAATCTCCGAAATGTATTTCTCATTGCACTCGTCGGTCAATATCTGTCTGTTTCTACATTCCGAGCTGCAAAATGCTTTCTCACCCCTGCAATTTCATAACCATCATTCATATGCAGACTACCCAATTGCCTTGGTTCTTGAAAATGAAAAGAAACCAAAAAAATGATTCTTTTTTATTTAATTTCTGGAGAATTCAAGAAACAGAGTGTGAATTCTACCTGTACATGTATATGTCTATGCCGTGCAGGCTTTTCTGGCACATATCGCATGAACTCAGAAAACCGGAATCTGGGTTTCTCGGAAAACCACCAGTTCTCGCCGGAGAAACGGCGAATACGCTCGGCCATTTGGATCTGGGGCTCCTGTCACTGCCGCTGATCACGCCTCTGTCACAGTACACCCTTGTGTAGGATTTGTTACCGGGGCCATGGCAAGTTACAACAGTATATTCTTCATCTTCATCATCTTCTGAGCATTCCGTATCCGTTTCATCAAAATAACCGGCAAGTCTAGGTGAACTCCGGCAGGAATTGGCCGGAATCGGGTTTGAATTCCTCCGATTATAAACAGGCCGGCAAGTCAAGAATTCAGCATCAGTTTGACAAGAATTCTCAAGGGCAGCTACTATGGCGAGCCCAACCACACCAAGATCGTAACTTTTTGGACCTCTGGGGGATTTTAAGTCGAAAGGACTTCTCGGGCTAATTGATCCGTCGACAACTAGTTCTCCACTGCCGGAAACTGGTATACAGGATCTACGGGCTATTTTCCCGATCACTGGAGTTAAGCTTTTCCCCAGCATGACTGAAACTTCGGCTCTTCAAGAATCGGGAGCTCTTTATTATTAGCTCGAAACTATTAAAAAAACTGGGTCTTTACAGAGCTCACTTATGAAGATGATGATGATGCTCTGCACTTGTGCAATTTGATGTACTTTTGGCTGGTTCAAGCCCATGGTTTCGCTTTGCTTTTTGTAATGGTATATAAAGTGTGTAATGATTGCATAAAAAGACAAACTTCAATTATTGAACTTCTTTTCCTTTTCTTAAAAAAAAAAGAACACTACATGGTAGGATAATTATCCTATGACCATCTTATTTATGAGTTTTTTTGATAATCCAGACGTCTATAACTACCCTGCAAAGCTCCTAGACAATTAATCCGGATCTGATCAACCCGTGAAGGTAGGAAGAATCATTGGGAGCAAGACTTCCACCTCTCCCCTAAATGTGCCTAGCGGGATTCGAACCCGAGACCTCCGCTAGGACACGGTAACCTTCCACCCAGTGAGCTGGAATGGTTGTTTACCATCTCATTTATTAAAGTTAGCATTTTGGAGCTCGTTTAGCAACACTGAAATCGGTTTAATCGGTTGATTCTGTTGAAATTTATGAAATTCTGGCTGAAGTTATTGTATTTGCTGATTCCGCTGATTAATGAAAAAGTTACATTTAAAATATATTTTGTTAATAAAATAAAGAAAAAATTATAAGAAAAATAGTATGAACATCTAAAATAACTTCAACCAATACAAATAGAAAAGTAACTTCAACCTTACTTTTTCTTATTATTACACAATTCAGTGCGCGAAATTAAAAGTTACGTGTTTGGTTAAAGAGGTTGTTGATAAACCCGATAAGTCGAAAAACAAAGTCACCAAACGGGCTCTTGATCTCTACATAGTCAACCGGAAAGAGTGCTAAGGTGGATGAGCTTGCTCCCAAGCTCCTCTCTCGTTGGGTTGAGGCTCAGAGCGCGAGTCGAGGTCAAGCAGAAGGGATCATTATCAACAGTAGCATCTTTGTTCTTTGGCTTGGAAGTAAGGATGGACTAGGATGCTAACCTTTTCCCGGCCCGCTGTTAGTTGCGGGTCGAGGGTCTTTATTCGATTGGGAAAGAGTCGTAGTCTCATCCCTGCTTGAGGTCCCACGTGGTCTCTCCGGGGTCTTTATTCGGGTGGAGGCATATGTCATTCCCCTCATTATTACTCACCTAGTCGGAACTAGTGGATAATACAAGATGAGGAAGGTCCTGTTTAGCGCGTTGGATTTTGTTATTCGCGTTGGTTCATAGTCGATAAGAGGTAGAATTTAAGGAGGAAAGCATTTGGAAGCAACTTTCTAATCAACACAAAATCACACTTGCATTTTAGTACCATTACGTTTTATTCTGCATAATAAATATGTATTTATTTTACCACTATAATGTAGTAAATAAACAACAACACAAAACATTATCATGTTATGTAAAATATAGAGGTAAGGGTGAGATTGATCCTCGAAGTTGCATAAAAAGGGTCAAATAAGTCCTTATATAGGAGGCTCTGTCCGGCCGTCGCCATTCGAGACGGTTCCCGGTGGAATTTTTTGATGAAATATTTTGAGCATCTTATTCATTAAGTGTACTTTACTCATATCAAATTTCAGCTAAAACTCCAATCGGGAAGGCATTCAAATGAAGTCTTGAAGATAACTGCGCAGTTAAAAGCACAGTTATCTTCAAGACTTCATTTGAATGCCTTCCCCGATTGGAGTTTTAGTTGAAATTCGGTATGAGTAAACTAGACTTAATAAATAAGATGCTCAAAATATTTCATCAAAAAGTTCCACTGAGAACCTCCCCAAATGGTGACGGCTGGATAGTAAGGACTTATTTGACCCTTTTTATGCAATTGTGAGGACCAATCTGACCCTTACCTCGTATAATATATACTCCCTTCGTCCCCCTATTATTGGGACGGAACAGAGTAATGTGGTTTTTAAGAAATGTAGAATTATGTGGTTGATAATGAGTTCATAAGTTGAGAATAAAGTAAGAATGAATTAGAGTCACACAAATGTTACCAAATATGGTATGGGACAATAATAAGGGGACATCCAAAACTGGAAAAATGAGACAATTATAAGGGGACGGAGGGATTAGATGTTTCTGCAATTATGTTTTCTTATTAAAACTTTATTTGGGAGAAAACAGTTCAATTCATATGGTAAAAATAAAAGAAATAAAATAATTAGTTGACGTTTTGGTGCTCCGGCATTGCAGGTGGCGCTCCCTGTCCAGTCCTCCGGGCCGGGTAAGGATGTAGCTCTATAACTATAAACATTTCTTACGCTGTCAAAATATATACGTAGTATTCTTTAATCCATATTAAACCCATCGTCAATTAGCGCTTACCGTTGTCATTTTACTCCATCATGTAGTAGTAATGTCTATGTAGTACGTAGTATTAATATCCATCATTTTAGAGTTTTAATGTCTGAAGAATATCTTAACGTTTACCATGAATTTTCCTCTCTCTGAGTATGGGAGATACGTAGTATTTCATAAGCTAAGATCATTTCACATGGCAAAATATAAATTCAGGGGTAGCTGACGCAATTTATTTACCCAATAATCCAATACTAATAGATTATAGATATCCCACCATCCTAATTATCTAGAATAATACTCCCTTCCCTCCGTATTGGTTTACATTTTCCGTTTTTTTTGTAGGATGTATCAAATCAATTGTCACATTTTCTTTTTTGAAAAGAAAAAAAAATGATTTCTGTTTTGAAAAAAAAAATACCGTTTTTTCTGTTTTGAAAAAAAAATGATTTCTGTTGTACAAAATTCAGCTATTGTACAACTACAATACCGTTATAGTATCACTATACTACAACAAACCTCTTATAAATCGATGAAAAAATCTAAAGTACACGTTTTGTGTACACACTCTTACACACTCGTGTAGGTTTGGGCATTTTTTTTGTCTGGGACAGACAAAAAAAATGCCCACACAGACACGAGTGTGTACACAAGTGTGTACCCCAAGTCCGTCTCTAAATCGATACCAAGAGAATTAATAATCAGAAATGATAATTAATCGAGAGAACATATTCTACATTATAGTATATATACTATTGTCTGTGTACACAGACAAATGTACAAAGTGTGTACAAAAGTGTGTACATCAAGAAGGGCTCTTATCATATTCCTATGCAACAGCATTGATAATCCAAATCGGGCCTAGTCTATAACTAGATATACTGTTCACTACAACTAGTTACTCTGTTCAATGAGTTAGCCTAGACACTTCATGCGTGTTTGCGACCACACAACTTCGCATATGTTTGGTTAAAGGGCGGAACAAACAAGAAAATAAAGGGGAAATTGTATTTTCACTGGTGGGCGTAGTTCAAGCGGCAACGAGGGAGTGTCACAAGGGTTAGATCCCGAGTTCGAATTTCGGCAATTGCAATGAAAGGTGATTATGCTAAATGCAAAAAACAAGGTCTCTACAAGTACCGGTCGGGGTTGAGGCCCCTCAGGGATGAAGTGTCGTCCTTTTTTTTTAAATGAGATTTTCTAGTAAATCTATTAGTGGTGGAAGGGAAAGTGTTATTTTCTATAGAGTAGTAAATTTATTAGTGGTGGAAGAGAGATGAAAGAGAGAGATGTCAAATGTCCATGATTTGCACTCACAAATGAAGAGATTTAAATGCACTATCTTTTTAAAAAATACCGAGTACTAATTATCTCAAATGAAAGGAAACCGTTCTTTCCTCCGATTAAGATTATCTCATTTTTATTTTTTGATTCGTTTTGCTAAAATTGTTGCATATCAAATTTGTGCGTCTAATCTGAGCTATGGGTACAAATCGAATATTGAGCTAATTCTCGTGAATGCAAGTTGCCAACCCCCAACTATGAAATATGAGCCCGTTTGGTAACACTAAAATCGGCTGAATCGGCCGATTCTGCTGAAATTTATGAAGTTCTGGCTGAAGTGGCTGTATTGGCTGATTTTGCTGATTCATGAAAAAATTAAATTTAAAATATATTTTATTAATAAAATAAAGAAAAAATTATATATAAAAATATCTAAAATGGTCCTCTACAGTAACTTCAGCCGATACAGCCAGAAAAGTAACTTCAACCTTACTTTTTCTGCTTATTACAAAATTCAGCGCGCGAAATCAAAAGTTACGTGTTTGGTGAAAAAGCTGGCTGATAAGCTTGATAAGACGAAAAAAGGGCTCACCAAACGGACTCTAAATGTTGTTATCTATACTACCATGGGGTAGGTAGTAGTGGTAATGTGAAGGTTAATGAGTGGCTAGCTTCCTACCCACCAAATCTGGTGAATTAAATGTGTTTCCTGCCAATATTTTGAGTCAAGCAAGCACAGGACCAGGAATGCCGCTCGGACCATGCTGAGCCTCCTCATTGAGGCCCCCAAATGACTGTCTAGCCTTATCTGGGCAAGGGTACTGGAGACAAACACCGCTGGATAGCTTGGCCCCTCCTTTCTTACAGGGTATTGGGCCGACTGTGTGTTGGACCAATTACTCAATCTCTATTTGTTTAATTGAATGAAATTGAAATACTACAGACGGAGTAACTTTTATTTAGTTCAATTGTACTTTTCGATTTTCTATGTACACACTTCTAAAAAAGTGACCGTACGTACTAAAATAATAAGGCCAGACTAGTTTCCATAAACAACTTACTTGACTTTTACCATTTAGCCTAAATGATTGTACTTCTCGTCCCATTTTATGTCTTATTTTTTATTTATTATTGTCTGAAAATAAGTGTCATATTTCCGCTTGTAAAAATAAATATGTAATTTAAATCATTTCATGTTAGTATACTCAAATCTCAATAATAAAATTTACTTTTTCAACTGCTTATTAATAATTATGTCAAATCAGAATAAGACACATAAAATGAGACTATGGTAGCATCTTACAACGGCTGAAAAACTAAATAATTTTCTATCTTACATGTTAATATTTTTATATATGTCCACCCTTTATTACGGGATATAGTATATTATTTATGTTAAGCAAATAACTTGTAATTATTTCTTTTATTATTTGTGATTGTTTCCTTTTAGAAAAGCTATTCTCTGTATCGGTTCTTCTCCTATTTAAAGGATTGGCCGTATGGTTGAAAGCAGAACAAGAATAATAATAAAGTTGATTTTATTCCCTATTACTTCCCTACGTTTTGTCATGGTATCAGAGATTTAAAACGCTGCCATGGCCAATGACGAAGATGACGCTGCCGGGCAGCCACCGGCGAAGATAGACCACAACTCGCCCTATTTTTTGGGGCCGCAAGATCGTCCAGGCGATTCCATTACCCCGGTGCGGCTGAATGGAGATAACTATGACAATTGGGCGAATGCGATTCGATTGGCGTTGCGTGCTAGACGGAAATATGTGTTCGTTGATGGCACCATCACCAAACCCAAACCGCCATGTACGGAGGATGATTGGATTACGATTCACTCTATGTTGGTGTCCTGGATCCTCAACACCATCTCTCCGGATGTGAAGAATACTCTGTCTATGTATGATAATGCGCAAGCTCTGTGGGATGATCTCCGAGAACGTTTTTCAGTCGTAGACGGCCCGAAATTACACCAAGTCAAAACTGATTTGGCAAGGTGTACACAGGCCAAAGGGATGTCAATTGGTATGTATTATGCCAAATTGAAAATTCTGTGGGATGAATTAAACAATCATGAACCAATAATTGAATGTCAATGTGGCCGTTGCACTTGTAACGTGGGAAAGCAACATGAAAAACGCAGGGCAGATGAACGTTTTCATCAGTTTCTTATGGGACTAAATGCTGAAAGTTTTGGTCCTATTCGGTCACAGCTTCTCACGCAGGTTCCACTTCCGACTCTGAATCGCGCATATCAAAACACCGTGCAGGAAGAACGCGTGAGGGGCATGACTGCTGGTTCGGAAACACCGGATATTCTCGGTTTTGCTGTCAAAACTGATGGCCGTGCATACGGACGCGGAACTAAAATTGACAAGACCGGCTTAGTTTGCTCTTACTGCAAATACACCGGCCATGATGTGAATAGCTGCTTCGAGTTAAAGGGGTATCCCGATTGGTGGGGGGATAGACCCAGGGCCGACACTAAAACTGCAGGTCGCGGCAAGGGAATACCGAAGGGGACTGGACGAGACAAATCGATGGCTAAAGCTCACGCAGCAGTGGCAGACACCATTCTGCCACAGGAACCAGCCGCATGTGATAAAACAGCAGGTACACCATTGCCTGGGTTCTCCCCAGAGCAATGGCAGGCTTTGATAACGGCCTTTGGTAACCCACAATCATCGTCTGGTCGCATGGCAGGTAATTTTTCCACCGGCACTTGGATCATAGACACCGGCGCTACAAATCACATTTGTGGTGATTTAAATCTTCTATTTAAAACTCAGAACATAACTCCGTGTTCGGTTGGATTGCCCGATGGAAAAACGGTTCAAGCTACTAAAGAAGGATGTGTTAAATTTTCTAATGGATTATGTTTGCAACATGTCCTATTTGTTCCTCAAATGAAGTGTCATCTTATTTCGGTGACTCAATTAAATGATGCGCTTAATTGTTTTGTTCAATTTTCCTCTGACTTGTGTGTTATACAGGACCGAGTATCGAGGAAGCTGATTGGAACGGGTGAGAGGAGAAATGGGTTGTACTATCTTCAAGATTCACCTACTGCCCGCATTTTGACAGTTGCAAGTAGCGAAAATTCTATCTTTGATTTATGGCACAAACGGTTGGGACATCCATCTGGCAATGTGATGCGTTGGTTAGCACCAGTGAGTAATTTAAGGGGTTCTTTTAATTCCGCATGCGACATTTGTTTTAGGGCCAAGCAGCACCGGGCTTCGTTTCCCATTAGTAGTAATAAAACTCATGATATTTTTGAGTTAGTCCATTGTGATTTGTGGGGTCCCTATCATACTCCATCTTCTTGTGGTGCAAAATTTTTTTTGACTATTGTTGATGATTGTTCTCGTGCTGTATGGATATATTTGTTGATGGACAAAACTGAAGTATTTAAAATGTTTATGATTTTTCTTGCTATGGTGGAGAGACAATTTTCTAAACAGGTACGCGTTGTGCGTAGTGACAATGGAACAGAGTTTAATTGTTTGAAAAAAAAATTCCACACTAGTGGGATTATCTTTCAAACCTCCTGCGTTGGGACACCGCAACAGAATGGGCGGGTCGAACGCAAGCATCAACACATTCTCAATGTGGCGAGGGCTTTACGGTTTCAGGCTAATTTGCCTATTTCTTTTTAGGGTGAGTGTGTCCTCACTGCCGCCTATTTGATTAACCGCACACCGTTGTCTGTACTTCATTTTAAAACGCCTTATGATATTCTTTTTGGTCAACCACCTTGCTATGACCAGTTGCGCACCTTTGGATGTCTTTGCTATGCCTATAATTTGAAATCTAAAACTGATAAATTCGGTAGTCGCAGCCGCAAGTGTGTTTTTGTTGGGTATGTTTTTGGCAAAAAGGGATGGCATGTTTTTGACTTGGATACACATGAATACTTTGTATCCCGTGATGTTAAATTTCTTGAAGACCAATTTTCTTTTGCGGATTCGCCACCCCCTTTGGCCTCGGATTCAGACGAACTTAGTGCCTCTCCTCCGATTTTGCCAGCAACGTATGATGATGTATTAGATGTGGCCTCCCCAGCCACGAATGTTCCTCCCGTGGACACGATCCCGGTTGATGTTCCTCCTGTTACTACCTCGGTTGATGTACCACCGGATATGTTGTCTCATGTGGAAGAAAATATCCCTTTGGGTCGCGGTTTGCGTGCTAAGCAGTCTTCGGTCCGTCTGAAGGACTATGTTACTCATACAGTTATTCGACAGAATCCCATTTCTCCCTCTCCGACTCCATCAGCTTCCGCAGGTACACCGTTTCCTATTACACATTATGTTAGTTGTGATAATTTTTCTGCGCCACATCGTATATTTCTTGCAGCTGTCTCCTCACACACAGAGCCTCAATCTTTTCGTGAGGCGGTTAAGCATCCCGAATGGCGTGAAGCCATGCAGGCAGAAATTCAAGCTCTTGAAAAAAATTCTACATGGACCCTCACTCCTCTCCCTTCCGGAAAGCGGGCTTTAGGATGTAGGTGGGTCTACAAAATTAAATATCATGCCGATGGACGTGTGGAGCGTCATAAGGCCCGATTGGTTATCTTTGGCAACCGCCAGGTTGCCGGGCTGGATTATACTGAAACTTTTGCTCCAGTTGCTAAAATGGTGACTGTGCGTGCATTCTTAGCTGTTGCTGCTTCTAAAAACTGGGAATTACATCAGTTGGATGTTCACAATGCCTTTCTTCATGGGGATCTTCATGAAGAGGTGTACATGACTTTACCTCCAGGCTATTCTACTCCTGATCCTACCTTGGTCTGTCGTCTTAAAAAATCTTTGTATGGCCTTAAGCAGGCACCCAGGTGTTGGTTTGCCAAACTTGTTAGTGCTTTACAACGTTATGGTTTCACTCAGTCTTTTGCAGATTATTCTCTTTTTACACGTGCTACTGACTCTGTTCAGTTGAACGTCTTGGTGTATGTGGACGACCTTATTATTTCTGGCAATGATTCAGTGGCCATTAATTCTTTTAAATCTTATCTCAATGACTGTTTCCATATGAAAGATCTGGGGAAACTGAAATATTTTCTTGGCATTGAAGTTGCTCGGAGTTCTTCTGGGTTATTTCTCACTCAGCGCAAATATGCACTAGATATTATTATTGAGGCTGGTCTTCTTGGCGCTAAACCTGCGGCTTTCCCTATTGAACAAAATCATAATCTTGCTCAGACCTCAGGTCCTTCTCTCACGGATCCTGAACCATATCGTCGCCTGGTGGGACGCCTCGTTTATCTGGCTGTTACCCGTCCAGACTTGACTTATGCGGTTCATATTTTATCTCAATTTCTTCACAGCCCACGTCTAGATCATTGGCATGCTGCTCTGCGGGTTGTTCGATACCTAAAAGGTTCCCCAGGTCAGGGAATTTTGCTTCGGGCTGATAGTGATCTTACTCTTACCGGATGGTGTGATTCCGATTGGGCCGCCTGCCCCCTTACTCGGAAATCCGTATCTGGTTGGCTGGTTTTTCTTGGACACTCTCCGGTTTCTTGGAAAACTAAAAAGCAAACAACCGTAGCTCGGTCTTCTGCTGAAGCTGAATACCGCTCTATGGCGGCTGCCACTTGTGAATTAAAATGGCTCAAAGCTCTTCTCCTTAGTTTGGGAATTCATCATCCCCAAGCCATTCCTCTATTTTGTGACAGTCAGTCTGCCTTGCATATTGCTCGGAATCCTGTCTTCCATGAGCGTACAAAACATATTGAGGTGGACTGTCACTTCGTTCGTAATGCTATTCAAGACAATCTAATTGCTCCCAATTATGTACCGACTACTATTCAGCTGGCAGATATCTTCACCAAAGCCCTGGGCAAGACGCAATTTCATTTTCTCCTACGCAAGTTGGGCATTCTTGATCCCCATGCTCCAACTTGAGGGGGGGTATTACGGGATATAGTATATTATTTATGTTAAGCAAATAACTTGTAATTATTTCTTTTATTATTTGTGATTGTTTCCTTTTAGAAAAGCTATTCTCTGTATCGGTTCTTCTCCTATTTAAAGGATTGGCCGTATGGTTCAAAGCAGAACAAGAATAATAATAAAGTTGATTTTATTCCCTATTACTTCCCTACGTTTTGTCACCCTTACTTATTTGTATACAAAAATAATTCATTTAAAAAAGGGGAGAATAATTTAAATATTCAAAATTTGAATGAGTGACATAAATATCTCAAACTTGCACATGTAATATGTATACCCTAAACTTTATATAAAAGATTATGTTTGCACTTTGCACCATGACTATTTGTTTTCATAAGTGTAATTTTATGGTGTTAAGTACATAATTTTAAATACACAAAACATTTATGAGGATGTAATTAAAATTAAATTGTACTAGATGTAATATTACTTATTTCAAAATAAAATTATGAAATTTTAATTGCATTCTAACAAGGCTTAAGGTATTTAGAATTATATAATTATTCTAATAAATTTGTATTTCTAAAAAAGCGTACAATCATGGTGCGAAATTAACTTTTTATATAAAGTACGGGGTATATATATTACATATGTAAGTTTGGGGTACACACCTCACACCTCATTAAAATTTGGAGGATTTAGAGCCCATTTGGTGGCTCTGTTTTTCTTCTTAACCACCTTTTGAACCAAACACGTAATTTTTTATTTCACGCGCTGAATTGTGTAATAATAACAAATAAGGTTGGAGTTACTTTTCTGACTCTATTGGCTGAAGTTACCGTAAATAATCATGTTAGCTATTTTTTCATATAGTATTTTCTTTATTTTATTAATAAAACATATTTTAAATATAAATTTTTCATAAGTTAGCAGAATCAATCTATACAACCACTTAGGCATGGCAATGGGTCGGGATGGGGCGGGCACCGAAAGACCCGGACCCGCCCCATGACTTTATTTGGTGGACCTGCCCTGTCCCGTGACCCGCACGGGTCCAAACTTGTTGACCCATGACCTGCCCCGTCCCTCCGTAACCTCAGTAGGTAGTATGTTTTTCTATTTGCGTGAAATTGTTACAACTTGAATCTACATAAAGTTTATCTTTACATAATTATTAAAAAATTAATATATTAAATCAATGTTACACTAAGCTAAAATTTTCAAAAAAGAAAAAAAAAGTACATAGGCTTAAATTGTTGATCTATTTATATTAATAATTGAATATATATGAAATGTTATATATAAAAAAACATTGACAATTCGCGTTCATCTCACTCAAACATAAATATTAATACTACATTCGTTCTCTTTTAATTACAACATTGAGTTTTTTGCACTATTCACATATTCTACTTTGACTATATTTTATTTATTGATGTAATATAAATTAAAAGTTTTAAAAACTATATTTAAATTCCTCTCATTTGAAATTTTCAAAATCTAATTTTTTAATTTTTACTAATAAAGAATGAAAGATATTAATGGTCAAACTTGTGTATTGGCAAACGTGAAAAGTGGACTGTTGCAATTAAAAAAGAACGGAGGAAATATATGATAAAATCAAAGAATTTATGATTCATTATACACACACATGTATATATATATATATATATATATACATGTGTGTGTGTGTGTGTGTGAATATTTGTAGTATAAGTTTTTAAAAAAGCATGTACACGTATATATTAGGGATGTTTGGCAATTGGATGTTGGCTGATTGATGACAGAGGTGTTTGGTTAGAAACTTATCAGCCATTTTTGGCTGATTTGACTGTATTTGGCTTTTTGACCAGATCAATCAACTAATAACAGTGTTTGGTTAACTGTCTTTTTCAATTAGCTTTTGAGGATGTTCGGTTAGAAGCCTATCATCCATTATTGGCTGATTTGACTGTATTTGGCTTGTTGACCAGATCAATCAACTAATAACAATGTTTGGTTAACTGGCTTTTTCAATTAGCTTTTAGCCCTAACAAACAAAATACAAAAACGCCAACAATACTAACTTTTGCCGAAGAGTAAAAACCAAATCTCGGAGCAAGCTGCCTTCTTGGATCGTTTCTACTGTTTGTTCCCATGCAAAGTGCGAAATTTGCAGTGTTTCATATTTCACTTGCACTTTGCTTGTTGTCATTTCACTTTTTCGCGGTAGGAAAAAAATTTGGTTTATTTACAAAACTACCACCGTGGTTTTGCCCGAATTTAGTCAAAATCGCAATGGCGAAAAAGTGCAAAAGAACACGAAAAAGTGAAAGCGAAACATGAAAAAGTGCAAATTTCGCACGTTGCACAGGAACATCACTTTTTATTTGAACTCTCCCATACACACACACACAAACACACACACACACACATATATAGGGAGCGGTTCCGGTAAGAACGGATCTTAGGAGAAAAATGAGAACGAATCTGGAACGTTGGATTGAATTATGTGGAACTAATTTGTGCATTTGGTGAAACCTCAATGTGCAATAGACGATATTGAAATGTGCAAAATAAAAATTTAAACTCACATGTGCATTAGGTGAAACTGAAATGTGCAGAATAAGGCATACAAAAATAACATCACATCGTACCTTTTGTTCTGCACATTTTAATTTCATCTAATGCACAATTTAGCTTCTACATAATGTCACAACATCGTACCCTTTGTGTTGCACATTTCAATTTCACTTATTACACATGACAACTTCATCTAATGCACATTGAATCTCACATAAAGCAAATCTAACGGTCCAGATTCATTCTCATTTTTCTCATAAGATCATTTTCTTATTTGAACCAAAACCTATATATATAGGATATATATAGGTTTTGGTTCAAATAAGAAAATGATCTTATGAGAAAAATGAGAATGAATCTGGACCGTTAGATTTGCTTTATGTGAGATTCAATGTGCATTAGATGAAACTGTAATGTGTATTTGGTAAAATTAAAATATGCAACACAAAAGGTATGATACACCGGCATTATGTGAACTTGAATCGTGCATTATGTGAAATTGAAATGTCTACTAGGTGAAACTGAAATGTGCATAATAAAAGGTACGGTGTGATGTTATTTTTGTACCATTTATTCTGCACATTTCAGTTTAAATTTTTATTTCGCACATTTCTATATCATGTGATGCACATTTTAGTTTCACCAAATGCACAACTCAGATCCACATAATTCAATCCAACGGTTCAGATTCATTCTCATTTCTCTCATGGGAGTCCGTTCCTACCGGAACCGCTCCATATATATATATATATATATATATATATATATATATATATATGGAAGAGTTCAAATGAAAAGACCTCTTCCCGTGCAAAGTGCGAAGATATGCACTTTTTCATGGTGCGCTTGCACCTTTTCGTGTTTCTGTTGCACTTTTTCACGGTGGCGAAGAGTGTGGTTTATTTACGAAATTGTCACCGCGGTTTTGGTCGAATTTAGTATATTTCTGGCTCATTTTGAGCCATTAGATGTGGAAATGAATGCACAAGATTCATTCCCACTTTGCATGGAAAGAGCTCATTGTATTTGAACCGTCCCCTATATATATAGGGGTGACTTCTAATACAAAGAGGTCTTCCCATGAAAAGTGAGAAGTAATTCAAGCCTTTGATTACTTAAAAATGGATGGTATAGATCAAAACTCATGATCAACCAAAATGTGTAACATCTAATTGCAAAAGTGCATATGCAATATGTAATGGTGCACATTCACCTTCTAAAAAAACATCAGGAACGATCTTTATACATGTTATGTTTTTCCCGAAAAGTAATGCACTTTATTGTTAGTCTAATGTACTTTCCCTCCGTAGTGATGCACATTTGTCACATTAGTTTTCAAAAAAGTTTTTAATAATTACACTTTTGGCACTGAATTTTTCCTTTAAAAATTGATCTGATCCACTCGTTTTCTCATTTTAACGGCTAAGATTACTTCTCATTTTCCATATAAGTAGTACTTTGTATTTGAACCTCCCTCCCTCTCATATATATATATATATATATATATATATATATATATATATATATATATATATATAGAGAGAGAGAGAGAGAGAGAG